AAAATATAACACCCTAGGAAAGTTCTACTCATAGCAATATCTAAATGAGTTGTTTGAAGCCAGCAGAGAACTAGAAAAGCTGAACACAATATTTTTAATACTTTGTTTGTAAGCATCAAAGGGATACCAAGATAAACAAATCTACGAGCTGAGACCTGGGAGAGGAGGGAAGCCAAGAGAAATGATCCTGGCATCTGTTGTCCCTTTACCCTTTGAAGTAAGTGCCAAGTACAACATGGACTGCTGAAAAGCTAGGCAGTTTCACACAGGTGGAAGGAAAAAAAAAACAACAATTTGGCCTTCCAAAAAGGAGGTGCCCTTGTAAATACATCAGGTTTTTGAACAGAACCCTGTACTACAAAATAATGCTAAAACTACTGAGTAATCATTTGCTGAGAACAAGGTAGCTACAAAATTTTAAAGTTACTCATTGGACACTGCATTTAACTAAGTGGTCAAACTTAACATCACCAGGACGGATGTTACTTTTGAAATATTTCTGCCAAAATGTTTAAGATTAACCTAAATGTGAATTTAAACAGTCATACAAACACAAATGGAGATTCTACAAAAATAACTGGCTGGTACTCTTTCAAAATGTGAGTGTCATGACAGACAATGAAAAGCTGAGGAACTATTCCAGAGTAAAGAAGACTAAAGAGACATACTGACTGAATGAAATATTTGTTATTGGATTTGTCCCCAGACCAAACACAAAAACAGACAAAAAACAACAAAGGATATAGAAAACTATGAAAGATATAAAGAAAAAGTGGCAAATATAGCCTACATTAAGACAATGGCATTATGTGAACTTTAAATGTCCCGAATTGAGTATTCTTATGGTGATTTAGCAGAGTGTCCTTATTCTTAGAAGATGAGTACATAAGTATTTACATAAAAGCATTACAGTGTCTGTGGCTTTCTCTCAAATGTTTCAAACAAAAAATAACAGCTGAAGCAAACGTGATAAAGGTTGACAACTCGTAGGCCTGGGTAAAGGGTACATGAGTGTCCATTGTTCTATTCTTGCAACTCTTCTAAAGGTTTAAATTTTCTAAATAAAATATTAGAAATAAACATTTCAAGAAATCAAGAAAGACCAAAATAAATGCAAAGATATGTAAATAGACTGGAATCCTCAATATGGTAAATACCAAATCTTCCCCAAATTGATCTAATAAAGTCAATGCAATTCTGCCCAATTTCCCAACAGGTTTCCTTTTGTGGTAAAAACTGACAAGCTAATTCTAAAATACAAACACTAAGAGCCCAGTAAAACTTAGACAATCTTGAAAATGAACTAAGTTGAGGACTTACTCTATTGGAAATCAAGATTTATCATAAAGCTATATTAATTTATATGATTTAGCGCTGTCACATGTCTGGATAAAAAGACCAGTGCAATGGAACAGAAGACCAAGAAAAAACCCACATACATATAGGTGCTCATTTGTGATAAAGACAGCACTGCACATCAGTGAGGAAAGGACAAATTTTTCCATAAATGGTATACAGCCAATTTGATATCCATAGGTGACCAAAAAATAAATAAATGAATAAAACCTGACCCCTATATCACACAATACACCAAAATACATTCCAGGTGCATTCTAGATCTAAATGTAAACAAAAAAATAAAACTTCTAGAAAACAACAAAATAAAAAGTTTTCACTACCTCGGGTAGGGAAAGACTTTCGAACAAGATACAAAAAACACTAACCATAAGGAAAAGACTTAAAAAAAAATTGAACTATATTAAAATTAAAAGCAGCTATTATTCAAATACATTTGGAGGGTTAAAAAATTAGCTATAGACTAAGAAAATATATTTTTAGATTATATAGTCAAGAAAGAGCTTGTATCCAAACCACAGAATCAACTACGGATCAAAGTAATATATATAAATAATTAATAAAGAAAAAGACTTGAAAGCATATCACCAAAGAGAACACCCAAATGGCCAACAGATATGAAACAGTGCTCAACTTTATTCATCATCAGAAAAATATAAATTAAAGCCATACTAAGATGCCACTATACACACACATAATTGGCTATAATTTAAAGACAAATGATATTAAATTTTGGATAGAAAATGAAGCAATTAGAATCCTCCTACAATGCTGGGGTGAATTAAATTAGTACAATAGCTTACAGAACTGTTTGTCATTCCCCAGAAGTTCCATAATTCTGTTTACTCAAAGAAATGTATATGTATATAAATATGTATACACATACACATGTATGTCTGCAAAAAATACATGTACAAGAAGGCAAAAATGTTCATAGCAGTATTATTTTTAATAGCCAAACCAAAGTCCATCAGTATTAGCATCAATAAATATGCTATGGTATAGTCATTCTATGGAACACCACACACCAGTAACAATTAACTATGGCTACATAAAAAATATGTATGAATCTCTCAACATAATTATAGAGAAAGGAAAGAAACAATATACACAGAAACAAAAACATACTGGGTAACTCACTTATTTTCATTCAAAAACAAACACCAACAGCCATGGTGTAACAAGAAAGGAGAGCTCTACGTGCGTAGTGACTGTAATAGGGCATGATGTAAAAGGCTGGATGTGGAGAGGTCTTCGTTACATTTGAGTGTTGGATCTGCGTGGTGAGTACACAGGTGCATTCACTGTGGTAATTCACCTAGCTGTATACAGATGATCTGTGTGGTATCCTATGTATTACTTTACAAAAGTTTATAGTAAGAAAAAATATTAACATCTTACTATTCAAGTCTTGTTCCATTGTGGTTTGGAAAGAATAAGGGACGATGATTTTCCTGTGTTGATGTTATTTGGAAAATTACTTTTAATTTTTGTAGACAGTAATAAATTGTCAGCTGATAAAACTAAAATTCTGGAACCATTCTGTCCTCTGCAAGGAATATCAACACTGGTATCATGTAACACTACTTGGATCCAGTCTCCCAGAAATCACGTCATCTTCCTACCTGTGTTTCTGCCTGTTGATTTCAACTTCTTTAATTACAGTGAATGTGTCACTAACTTCTCCATCTGTGAAGACAAAAAGCTGTACAAAGAAAGAAAACACTCATCAAGTTTCTATCAAGTTCATTTTAAGATACCAGAATTTGCCTTTGAAAAACTCAACTATTTCAATGCAGAGGCGCTGATGCCTCTTCAAACGGTCATGAGATCCCGAATGTTCCACTGTCACTAGCACCACATTCTCAAGTGGTCTGATCAGAACCCTGGGAATTTTCAGCATCTCCTCCTACTAGCTTCATTTAAGCTTTTGTGGCACTCCATAAAAGAACTTCCATTGCCTATCATCGCACGGAATTAAGGAAGAAGAAAAATGCCTCTTGTCTTTTTCTTTTCCTCTTTACTATGTAAGACTCTGAATTACCAACTATATTTCAACAATCTGATTCTTGAACTGAGATTTCACCCTGTGTCCCTTCGGTTAGCTCTGTTCCAATTCTTACCTGTAGGGGATGGCCTGGGATGGAGGGTGCCCTGTAAATGTTCTGGAGTGGTGCCAAGATTTCAGTGCCCCCTAGGTCTGCCCGAATACACTTCACTCTCCCCAGTGCCTCCTCCATTGTTTGCTGACTGTACTTCACACTTTCCCTGAGAAAAACAAAGACATCCAGTCACAGGATGGCTACTGGACATTGTCTAGTGTTGAGTCCCTGAACTGGATACCCCCATCGAAAGACAATCTTACCTGAAATTCCCAATGCCAAATTCTGTAGTAGTTCTTTTAACAACCTAGTCCCTCTCTTTAAAATATCATTTTGGACTCTCTATGGCCTTTCCAGAAACTTACCGAAAGAATGCCTCATAGGTAGAGCCAAATCCATAGATGTTGAAATAACAGCCTACAGGTAAACTCTTCAGCAGCAAAATCAGTGTTTCCTGAAGGTAAGAGAGTATGAGGGGACAGAGTGAGAGAGGATCCTCTCACACACACAGACCCTGCCATTCTAATTCTTGAGGGTGTGGACCATCACCTCCACTTTGTGCCTCCTTACATTCCAAGGCCAGCCTCAGGGTGGCCATGCTGGCTGTAGCTCAGTTGAAAACAGACCTACAGCTCTGAATGCACCATAATTTAACCCGTCAGAGTCATCCTCCCTTGAGCTTGTGACCCAGAAAAAGAAAGATACTAGTTTTACCTTGGCTGCCTCTATACGAGGCTGAGATTTACTCTGGCTACTCAAGAGGCTCTCCATACTTCCTGAACGGTCTATGAGGAAGATAAACTCTCCACAGGTATTTGGTGGCTGGGCTTCTGGGATATTTGGATAGAAACTCACCATTGCAGATGGATCTCCCAACAAACACCCTACACAGAAAGGATACAAAAACTGTAAGACAAAAAAGAACTTAAGAATCCTAATGTCCCCAAGAATCAATGGGAGTAAATTCAATAGAGAGCTGAGAAAACTCAAATGTATAACACTGTGTTTGATCCTTAAATCATATCTGTTTGCAAAAGGTATAATGTGAGTTATAAACATATAAAGGAGACAAAATCAGAATAGACAAGAAAGAGAAGAAAGTGGGTAGAGGTTAGCAGGCACAAGCAATAATTAAAATATTGTCACTGAATGTAAGTTTCAGGGCAGCAAGGCAAATAAGTGAAATGCACTAGGTTAACATGTTTCAGCATTTGCAAAAAGAATCAGACAAGTTTCCCTGCAGAGGCAAACCTTCTCTTCAAATCAAATCAATGGAAGAGAATTTATCACATGGGGTCCTTGTTTAAATCTTTAATTACAGCTGTGAAAAAGTGATACTTACATGGACAATTTTTAGAATGATAATTTAAAGAGTTGAGAGTATAGTAAGTGTTATACACAACAAGGTGAGTCTGCCTGCTTTGGATATGAAGCTTGCAGACTTCATACCCACTGATGGTCCCCAGAGGGAAAAGAAGCACTGGGATCTGGGTTGGATTCTAATGGCATCATCCAAACAGCAGGGTGGTGGTGACTACTGGAGTCTGGCCGATGTGGCTAAGTTGTCAAAGTCAGAGCTGTGACTTTATTTTTAGGAGCAAGTGAAAGCTGGTGCAGGAATTGAAATGATGTGGTTGAGATAGAAATGAAATGAAAATGGCTGGGTGATATCACCTCTAGTTTTACAGTTCAGAGAATATAAAATTAAATTCCATTATCTTATCTTTACAAAGTGATTTGAGGATTATAGTGTTTATTCTCAGTAGCCCTGAGATTCAGTATGACCACAGGACATGGCTCAGTTTAATCTCCTAGCCGTGGGGTACTCCGATAACCAAATGGTTTCTAAGTTAAATGGGTGTGACCCAGCAAATGTCTAATAGAACACTAGTTCAAAAATAACATTTACCTAATCCAGATGTCTGGATATTTGACAGAAGAGTAGAATTTTTTTGATGGGCAAGATAGATTCCTTTTCATTCTGAGAGATAGTTGGTTATAATAGAGCTGGCACTATACTCAGAAGTTGGGAAGGTTACCATGAGTGTGATGAGTTAATGTATTTAAACTGTTTAGAATAATACCAGAAAAATAGGAAGCACAATAGGTGGATTATCTACTATAATTTTGGCCTGGCTCAACCTATTTGTACTACCACGAGTCTTGACTTCCTTTGTTTTTAAGGAGGCATTTCAAACCTTAACTCCTCTGCTTGCTAGCCCCAGTGTCCTCATCTGAAGAATCATGGTAGTAATACCTGCCTCAAGATTATTGTGAGGGTAGGTGATATAATATACTTAAGGAGTTCAGTCTATTGCTCAACTTAGATTAAGCTCTTAGTCACAATTTTATAAAACTTATTTCTAAATTTTATTTTTACAGAACTATTTTATTAAATCATGAATTTAATTTTAAAAGAAATCATGTTCTTAATACACTAAGTATGTCTGTTCTGAGTTTGTAAAAAATAAGGTATTACATTTTCATCATGTAGTGTCATGTTTCATTTGGCAGAACTCTCCATGGTTTTACTGAGCCAAGCTGCCACTGAAGGTTGTCACAGTTGCTTCCTTGTGTGGATGAGAACAGCAAGTCATCTTGACCAAATATATCCCCTGGGAAGCAAGACTTGAGTGGCCCAGCTGGAAGGAATTCACAAGACTGATACAGGCTATCTCTGATGTCCCCCTATGGCCTGCAGGGCTGGTCATGGGGAACAGGTGAGAAAATCTGCAGAGGGGCCAAGGAAACTTCTTAGAAGGAAAGGGACTGAGATTTCTATCTTAGCTGTTGAGATCCAACATGATGAAACTTTCTCTGCTGTAAATAATCCTTTAAAATAATGCTGACTAAAGATAAGGTTACTGTTATGGGAATATTTTGTGGGCACCCAAGAAGATACCAACAGGCAGGGGAAAAACAGGTAACTAATGTAAAAAGTTATCTCTTTTCAATAAATGGTGTTGGGAAACTGGATAACTACATACAGAAGATTGAAATTGGATCCCCACCTCTCACCTCATACAAAAATAAATTAACGATAGATAACAGACTTAAACCTAAGATACAGAACCTTAAGAATCCTACAAGAAAATGTTGGGAAGACTCTTTCAGACATCAGTCTAAACAAAGAATTTATGAAGAGGACCCCCAAAGCAATCACAGCAGCAACAAAAATAAATAAATGGGACCTGATCAAATTAAAAAGCTTCTGCACAGCCAAGAAAACTACCATTAGAGCGAATAGACAACCTACAGAATGGGAGCAAATATTTGCATTCTACACATCCGATAAAGGGCTGCTAACAAGAATCTATACAGACCTCAAAAAAATCAATAAGAAAAAATCAAACAACCCATCAATAAGTGGGCAAAGGACATGAACAGAAACTTTTCAAAAGAAGACAGACTAATGGCCAGGAAACATACAAAAAAAAGCTTAAGATCTCTAATCATTAAGGAAATGCAAATCAAAACCACAATGAGATATCGCCTAACCCCAGAGAGATTGGCCTCTATCAAAAAATCCCAAAACAACAAATGCTGGCGAGGATGTGGAGAGACAGGAACACTCTTACACTGCTGGTGGGACTGCAAATTAGTGCAA